TGTCTTTATAAACTGTGTTATGCCATTTGAGCCAGATGTTCCCCGAGACCATGGTCCCCACAGCCCTCCGCCCAGCAATTCAGTCCCTCAGAGAGTTTGGATGTGTCTATGGATCTTCCATGACCTTTCCTTAACAAAGAAATTATTAATAAGCAACATCTTAATAACATCTTCACTTTTAAACTTTAATAAATTAGTATTTACAGAAAATATATTATAAATGTTTGGGGCACTGTTATGCAAATGAAGAGAATCTTCACTTCAGCTGCTTCAATTAGCAAAAATGAGTTATTAAACGGTACGCTGAGATGTATGAAACACCCCACCCCACCCATCACCACTAGCTATAGGAGGGAAACTAAGCTTGCTTTGAAATGCTGGTTTCAGAATTGTTTCTACCAAACATGCAACCGAAATTACTAAAGTTTAAAAGTGTATCTCCAAAGGCCTATCTATAGGAAGATGCTAGTACTTCTAGGCTTGATGCATTTAAATTAGTTCCCTCTGAAACCTGGACATTCACAGAATCCACAAGTAAATCTTACCAAGAACACTGATCCCAACTCCTCTGTAGTCTAATAATTCTTTTTGTATCTCCAACAGCACCTAGAAAAAAAAATGAAAGAAAATAAGATGACTTCGTACGCTGTGCACAGCTCTCCCTCTGTACAAACAGGCCTGAGAAGGGCCAGAAGTGGGTTGCCTCACAAGGCCTTTGGGGTCTGGAGATTGTTCCCAACACCACTCCCAGCCAGTGATGCAACTTACACTCAGGTTGAGTGTGAAATTATGCAACATGATTGACACTAAGATACAGTTTGTTCCTAAGGCATGAATTTACTTAGATATAAAAATTCACTCAGGTTAAAAAAAAAAAAAGATTCAGTGTCGTAGTTATCTAGTGCTGCTATAACACAAATACCACAAGTGGATGGCTTTAACAAATAAATTTATTTTCTCAGAATTCAGAGCGCTGGCTCTAGGGGAAGGCTTTCTCTCTCTGTCAGCTCTGGAGGAAGGTCCTTGTCTCTTCAGCTTCTTCCTCGTTCCTTGGAGATCCCCATGTGTTTTGGCATCTATCTTACCCCATCTCTCCTTCTTTTGCTTGCTTGTTTAATCTCTTTCATATCTCAGAAGAGACTGACTCAAGATGCACCCTACCCTAAACACACCTAACATAACAAAGACAACCCATTCCCAAATGGGACTACAACCACAGGCACAGAGGTTAGAAGCTTATTTGCACGGTCCCACCCCACAAGGGCATCATCCACCTTATTTTCATTATTAGCAAGCTACCCAATCCGCTTGGTGGGTCACTAGCACCTCATTTGCAAAGTCCCACCCACTCATTTGGTGGGAGTTACAAAAACTATGGCTAAAACCAAAAAACCAGTTGCAGTCGAGTCGATTCCAACTCACAGCAACCGTACAGGACAGAGGAGAACTGTCCCATAGGGTTTCCAAGGAGCACCTGGTGAATTCAAACTGTTAACCTTTTGGTTAGCAGCCAAACACTTAACCACTGCGCCACCAGGGCTCTATTCCTTGAAAAGGCATCTATAAAAGTTTAGAACCAAAATCATTACAAAGAGTTTTAAAGACTTCTACCCAAAAAACAAGTTCCTTTAATCCAGTGGGCTTTTATTTTTTTCCAAACTGCAGATTACAATTACTTTTGTGGATCACAACTAATTTTTTAAATGAGATAGAACCAACTAGAATGGAATAGAATACAAAATATAAAAAGCAACAGCTGCCCCCCACCCCCCGACCCCAGCTTACAGAGTGCATCCAAGGGCAAAAATTCTCTTAGGGAAATGAATAGCGGATAAATAATGGTGCCAACTGCCATTATAATAAACGCATAACAAATTACAAAAGAAACAAATACACTGAAGACTCCAAAGGAGAAGGAGGGAAGTTTCCACAGCTCCAGCAGGGAATCTCACCTAAAATAGACTGTAATAACTAGGAAAAAAATAAGCCCTGCTCTCTGTTACTGAGAACTGCCCCTACAAAAGCAACATGCCCTTCCCCCTCTAAAATTGTAGGATTCTCTGTTCTTACTACAGCACAGAGGCAGCTCAGTCCCAAGGAGAGCGCTATTCGGTTCAACAATAGGTAATTGTAAAGCACTTGGCTATGCCCCCTGTGGGTTGCTACAACACATTATCAGATTTATCTGGTTAGAAAAAATAAAATATAACAGCAGCAGTTGCAACTTGTCAATCGGTCCAAGGCACAAGAGAGACTTTGCCTTCTTCACAGCTGGAGGGCATGGGGCGACGGGCAGGCAGGGTACAAAGTGTTAGGAATCGGGAGGAGCTCCCTAAGAGCTGGGAAGACAGGGAACGGTTGCCCTTGCACTTGCAGACAGGGTCTGGTAAAGGCCTGGGGTGAGAGCTAATCCTTTCATTTGCGACAGAAAAAAGTGCAGAGTACTGAGTCAGCAACCCAATGCCCACCAAAGGTTTGAATACTCGAATATCACTGAGGGCAAGGAGGTTAAAAAAATCCACGGGCAAAGCAAACCGAGGAAAGGCTTTAAGGAAGGGTGGGTTCTATTGGACAAGCGGTGAAAGGTCGAGCTGCCTTTCAAACGCGAACTTTTGAAAAGCAAAGTTTCCAAGTGCTGGCTAAACAAAAAAAGTCTGAGGGAGGCCAAACTAGAGCGTTTGCATTCCCCTACAGTTAACGCGATCACCGCAGTCAGTAAAGCCCATCATCCATTCACTCATTCCCACTATCTGTCCATTTATGCATGCACTCAACACGGCCTGGGCTCGCAGCACTGCACGTCGATGCGAACGCAGTGATGAGAGCTTTCTCTTTCTCGCCGCACCCCCGCTGGGGTCCAGGAGAAGACGCAGCACCAGAGTCTGCAGGTGCGCTGCCGGGGTGCGGACAGCACGCCCCGGCTGGCCTAGCTTTGCACGCCTCGCACAGTAGTTAGTGCCAGCGGCAGCGGCACAAACATGCCTCGCCGAGCTTCCTTCACGAAGTGCATTCTTCCAGAAGCCCATCCGCGAGAGATCCTGGACCCAGCGTCCACTGGGTGCAAAGCGTTAGCGAGGACTCGGGGCGGGGAGGGTGGATCCGAGCGCCCCGTGCAGGGATGCAAACCCACAGCCACGCGTGCTCCCGCCGGACTGCAGTGTTAGCGCGCGTTCGCGGGGACATACCGAGTGCGGCAGCTTGGCGGGCCCGGGCCCGAAGTTGACCACCTGCTTCGGGGCATCCATAGTGCGGCAGACCGGCAGCAAGTCAGCTAGGAGGACGGATCGCGTGGGCAGCGCACGAAACCTGACAGCCGCGGCGTTCTTCTGCGGCCGGACTTCGACTGGCTTACTTCTTCCAACGCGGAGCGGGGCTTCCCCACTGGCCCGCGCTGTTGCAGGCCCTGTGCTGATTGGTTCCCGCTACGGGGCTCGCATCCCCATTGGTCGCGCGGTTACCAGCCGAGGCCCGGATGCAGTTGCTCCTCCTGGTGTTTACTTTTTCAACCCCTCCGTTTCGATCCGTGCAAAGCAAGCAAGAGATTGCACCATCTAGCCGGTTGCGCTGCGCGCCCGCCAGAGGATCGTGGGCAGTGGAAAGGCGCTGCCCTTGCCAACCTGCGTTCGTGCTTCGGAGCCCTCAGTTCCAATCCTTCAACCCTGACCCAGCCCCTTCTCTCTTGGCCGGACGCGGAGATGCGGAGCAAATCAGTCGCCCCCGCCCCTTCTCCCACCTCTCCTTCACCGGCCCTGTAGGCTGGGCTTCGGTGCGTTTGTTACAGAATCAGCAGTCATTAACTTACCAAATTTTTCTAAGCATTCCCAAGGGCGCCAGATACTCCAGCGGAGAGGCAGGGCTTCCGAGAGGACTGGAACTGCGGGGTGAAGAATGGGCCAAGGGGTGAATAAGGGGCTCCTGAAGTATGAAAGGATGGGGGCGGCCAAGCACGCTGGGAGGAACGATGGCATGGAAAGTCTGGATGCCCTAGGCAAGTTCTTTAAAGTCGCCGATCCTCCATATTCTGCTTTGTGAAACCGGCAAGCTGGACTGTAGCCGCAGCTCTCGGGTTTCTCCTGCGCTGACAAGCTGTGAGTTTAGAAACGTGAGGAGACATTAAAGAACTCGATACCCATTGGGAGCGGCAGCCCCAGCCAGCCGAGAAGGCCCCGGAGCCAGACCGGGCGCGACCCCAGAGCTGCTCAAACTTTTCCACACAAATGTGCTTCTTGTGAGAAATTGACCGATAGAGACACACATGGGGTCCTGAAGCAGGCAGGGCCCCTTCCCTGCAAGAAAGAAGTTCCTTTGAAGTCTAGAATTTCATCTTCTTTTTCTTTTTTTTTAAATCACGTGTATTTTGTATTCTGTCCCGTAACAAAACCAAACCAACTGCCGTCGAGTTGATTCCAACTCATTGCGACCCTATAGGACAGAATAGAACTGCCCCATAGGGTTTCCAAGGCTGTAAATCTTTGGCGGTAGACTGCCACATCTTCCTTCCCAAAGTGACTGATAGGTTCCAACAGCCGACCTTTTGGCCAGGCGTTTTTTTAGCAGCCACGTTAAGCCACGTTAGCTTAACCACTGCGCCACCAGGGCTCCTTCCAACCCTTTAACAGCCCAGTTAATATAATAAAAAATACTTTCCTAAAGTCTTTGAGTAAATTTGGTGCCCAGGAATACGCACAATACCTATGCTGGGGCTTCGAGTAACACTAACCACAGTTTCAGCGACCCCGATTTCAAAAGACTTGTGCTCTATCAGGGTTGTGGCTTTTGTTTGCTTTTGGTGGGGAGTATGTGGGCGGGGGGGTGGCTGGGAGCAGGGGTACTGCTTTGGGTCTGGGAGTTAGAGGGCAAAGTTTCTAGAAAAATCAAAAGTGAACAAGGTCACTACTTTGCTGCACACCTTATGAGTCTCAGGTGTACACCACAAACTCAGGTGTACAAGAATTGTCACAGATCCATTATTTTATGTAATGATTTTACACCTCTAGCAGCAGCTAATCAACTGGGAGAGTGGAAGAGTTAAACTTTATCCTTCCTGAAGTTCCTAACCCCAGCTTGGCCTCAGTTCCAAGGATTTAGAGAGTCCCATGGTGGGTGGTGTAAACAGTTAAGCGTCTGACTATCAACACAAAAGGTTGGTGGTTTGAATCCACCCAGAGACGCCTCAGAAGAAAGTCCTGATGATCTGCTTCTGAAAAGTCACAGCCTTAAAAATTCTACAGAATGCAGTTCTACTCTGCAACATATGGATCACCATGAGTCAGAATCCACTTGATGGCAACAGGTTCCAGTAAGGAAGTGGCTGCTCATCCAGAATCCACATTTCCCAGCCTTCCTTGCATCTAGGTGGGCCACACGACCTGTTCCCACCAATGGAATGTGAGCAGGGGTGATGTGTCACTCTGAGGCCAAGGTGGCTGAGAAACAGGCTTGCTTCTCCACTGTCTTTTTCCCTTCCCATTGGCTGAAAATAGAAGACTCCAAGGCCCTCAGGGATGGTGGAGACAGGTTGGAAGGAACCTTAGGTCTTTGAATCACCTATACTGGACCGTCATATATAAGCGAAAAATCAACTTCATGTTATGCCACCAAAAGTTGGGGGTTTATTTGTTACGACAGCTAGTGTTATCCTAATGAATGAGCTGCTCTAAACATCACAGCTGCAGCTCAGAGCCAGCTGGCTGTTGCCAAGTGTGCAAACTAGGTTACTTGAGTTATCTTCTCATTAAAAAAAAAAAAAAAAAAAAAGGCCAGAAACCCAGATTTTTATGTGAAATCTCCCAATGTTTAAATGTCTACAAATTCAAATCTTGGGAAACCCTGTACAGATCAACTTTGTGTGCAGCCTAATTCCACCTGCTGGTCACCAGTTCTAACAGCTGTTTTATAGTGTTCCGTCTCACATTTCCCCTGATTCAACAAGGAACACGGCTAACTCTTTTAAGGAAACAGGAAAAGGGGAAATACAGTTTAATATCTCAAAATATTATTCTGTCACCCTTGCCTATTTTGCAGTACAGAGGTATAAAGACAGCCAAGGGGGGCAGGAGGGCTCCTCCCTTCTTAGTAGAATCTCATTTTGCAGGTAAAAAGAAGCGTCTTTCTGAAATGTATATTTTGTAAAGAGGCAGAATTTCAGTTTTCACAAACTATTTATTGAACCCTTGACAAGCATTATTTACTTTTTCATGAGCACCTATGTGAAACATACTGGGCTTGCCAGCTATTTCCAGTCAGATCTGGCTACTTGAGCTGGGAAGAAAACCTGTTTGGAATGAGATGACATTATTTCTGATGACCTTTTTGTTGATGGAGCTGAAAATCCTTTCCCCTTATCATTATTCGGAGACCCTGGCTGGAGCAAATTGTTAACACCCTCAGCTGTTAACCGAAAGGTTGGTAGTTTGAATTCACCCAGAGGTGCCTCGGAAGAAAGGCCTGGTGATCTGAAAGGTCACAGTCTTGAAAACCCTATGGAGCAGTTCTACTCTGCACACTTGGGGTCGCCATGAGTCAGAATTGGCTTGGCAATCTTTTTTTCTTACCATTATTCACATAGAAAAATGAGTAATAAGGAGAGGGAGTAATCCTAATTTATATAGCAAGAAAACAAAAAGTCAAGATCCTATTACAGTCTTCATTCTGATCCCAACAGGAAATGATATCCATCCAGCTCACTTTTCTACCTCAATTTATTTCCTCACCCTACTTGGCTTCATTTTTAAATGGTCAGTGTACAGAGTATTCTGTCCCTCTAGGAAAACGCTGGGGGCTGTGGTGCTTCAGTGGTAGTATTCTCACCTACAATGCACCCAGCTGTCTGTCAGTGGAGGCCTGTGTATTGCTATAATGCAGAACAGGTTTCAGTGGAGCTTCCAGACTAAGATGGACTAGGAAGAAAAACCTGGCAATCTACTCCTGAAAATCAACGAATGAAAATCCTATGGTTCACAACAGTCCGATCTGCAACCAATTGGGATGGTGCAGGACCAGGTGGCATTTTGTTCTGTTGTTCTTGGGGTCACATTGAGTTAGGGGCTGACTCAAAGGCAACTAACAGTACTAAGGAACAGGCTTTGCACAAGTAAAGTCTCTAAGGGATCATTTTAGAGAAGTGCTCTATAAGAATAGTGACGTCATTAGGGGGTTGGTAGCTGCAGACTGCACAGGGTGACATCGTCAGAGGGGGTGTGTTATGGATTGAATTGTGTCTCCCAAAAATATATGTCAACTCTGTTAGGCCATGATTCCCAATATTGTGTGGTTGTCCTTCATTTCATGATTAATGCAATTTTCCTCTGTATTGTAAACCCTAGTCTCTGCCTGTGGTTAATGAGGCAAGATTGAGTTATGTTAAAGAAGATTAGGGTGTAATGTAACACCCTTACTCAGGTGACATCCCTGATCCAATGTAAAGGGAGTTTCCCTGGGGTGTAGCCTGCATCATGTTTTATCTTATAAGAGATAAAGGGAAAGAGAAGGGAGCAGAGAGTTGGGGACCTCATACCACCAAGAAAGCAGCACCAGGAGCGCAGTGCGTACTTTAGACCCAGGGTTCCTGCGCGGAGAAGCTCCTAGACCGGGGAAGATCGATAACAACGACCTTCCCCGAGAGCCATCCAAGAGAGAAAGCCTTTCCCTGGAGCTGGTGCCCTGAATTCGGACTTCTAGCCTGCCAGACTGTGAGAAAATAAACTTCTGTTTGTAAAGCCATCCACTTATGGTATTTCTGTTATAGCAGCACTAGATGACTAAGACAAGGTGACACCAAAATGACCGTCTATAAAATGTTTTGTGCAGTGTTTCAACAGAAATGTAGTTTTTTAATAAAAATGATAGTAGTCATAACAACAAAACAACTTTTTGTAAGCCCAGCCTACATGTATCAATATACCTAGAAGGCTACAACTACGCTAATTTCCTTTTTGAATCTTCTAATGCACTCTGGTCAGAGCTGTCATTGTTACCCAATTACAGTGATACTTGGAATCATGTGGTTTCATCTGCACACACTACTAGCACATGACGTGGTTTTCGTTGCTGATGGTGTTTTTATAGTCACTGATTTTGTCAAATTTTCTGTGTTTTACCTACAATGTTGTAATTAGCAAAGGGGGGGTGTGACACCATGAGTTACGGCACTGGGCGACACCAACCCTAGTTACACCACTGTTTGTGAACCAGAGGCAAAGTTACCCAGGGGCCTGCAGGCTGCTTCTATCTCCTAACATCATAAACAGATTCTGATATGGACAAAGCATCAGGCGTTTTTAACATGAAAATGTACTTATTTTTTTACTTTTATTTATTTAAGGAAAGAC